GCAGAGAATGGATTAAATGTGACTGTCAATGCCAGCGTCCATCTTGATGTTCAATGTAAGTATAGCTTGGTGCGGCGCTACTGTTGTTGGAGTCAGTGAAACAAAGTAAAATGATCACAGTGAAGGAAACAATAATTCGATCGGAAATCATCTGTGTCGATGAGTGCTTATGACCGAATTAAATATAGTTGACATGGAATTTGGAAGATATTCATAGGTTGTTTTCAGTAATTGGATTGGTCAGCTTCATTGATGCTAGAAACAGTAATCACAACGAAAAAACTTGACACAAGTAACTTCTTAATTAGTGTGTATTGCCAAATTGCCTAAGGGGACCCTACAGTAGACTAGCATTTTATCTGGGGGAGAGGCTGTAGCTTCATTGTGTGCAACCTGGATAAAGTTTACTGGGGTCTATTAATTGACTGTGGCCAAAATCATTGTATACTGTAGTTTATATTGAAAATTAAGAGAAGGTAACGTGTCACCAACCTCATTTTCTTGAATGCCCATCACCTTGCTTATGTTGATCTAGATAGCCGGACTCCGCTTAACTTATTTTATGTAATTTGCAGTTGCACCAAGCTTTACAGTAATACCAAGTGATCTGACTGTTCGAGAAGGTAATGAAGTAAGTTTTCATTGCTCTGCCACTGGGAACCCAACTCCGACGATAACGTGGATGAAAGATGGGATGACTGTGGCTAGCGGAAATGTGCTGAGGTTTTCCACCAAAAGAAATCAGTCTGGGGTATATCACTGTTCGGCAGTGAATGGACTGGGTGTGAATATCACTGCTAGTGCCTCTCTTGATGTACAGTGTAAGTTTACTTCAAAGCCTCCAATTGTTAAATTTCCCAAGGGATAAACATTTCAGTAATGTAAAGCATGCTTAAAACTAAAGCTATCCCTGTACCACTTTGAAGCTAAAAGGCGACAAAAATATAGAAACTAACCCATACGTGTTGTTGTTTTTGATGTAATTGGGATCTCTGGAAGTGCGTGGAATTTACCAAAGAAAATAGGCGATTCGTTGCACTTTTGATATTTTTTATCCTTTTCTTCCTCGTGTATTCTTCAATGATTCCAAGTAGTCCATTGTGATTTTAATTTATCATTCGGATTTCTACTTCAGTTAATGTTTTTATGCGAGTTCCACACGGCAAACGACCTAACAGAAAAGAGAGATGAATCTTTAAATGCCTGAACATTAGATACTATTGGAATTGAAAGTACTGCTTGACGATATAACTGCACATTTTGTCCGTTCTTTATTTTATATTCAGTTGCACCAAGTTTAATCTCAACACCAGCTGACCAGACAGTGATCGAGGGAACCAAAACAACATTCTACTGTAATGCCTCAGGGAACCCATCTCCAAAGATAACTTGGTCAAAAGATGGAAAGACTGTGACTGAAGGAGAAACTCTGAGCTTTGAAGCGAA